CCTCTCACTTTCTACAAACAAACAAACAAACACACATACACACAAACAAACCCTACTTTTGACCCATTCTGAACTTTATTACTATGCAATTCTGGATGTAAAAACCTCCCGTACACCAAACAAAACAAAATATAGTATGGTATAGGTGAACTTTTTTTAATCAAAGAATCAGAAACCTTTGGTAGGGCTTCATGTCTTTACATATTTCTGTTAAGAGTAAAGTGTAACATCAGGAATGAAGTATTTTGGCCTTTATTGGGCTGCTGTGATTTCAGATGTACTGAGGAAGGTGGTGGTAGTGAAGACGATTTTCACTTTATGATGTTGCCTGTCTCATCCCTGACTATTGTCATAGAATATAGAATGCATTACTCTGAGAATCTTGTGAGACTACAATCAAACAATATTTTGAAACCATCCCTATTACGATATCATTTATATGTACAAAACACTCAGAGCTCTCTTTTAGTGCTTGAAATGGCAAAAGAATGTGTAGCAGACGGAGGCAAAAAGGTGGGAGACAAAAGATGGATACAACCACGAACTATTTTGATCACTCTCAATTATTTGCAATCACTGACTGCCACAGCAAAGGAAACTGCAGTCCTGATAAAATTGTGGTATACAAAGAATCGCTCAGGAATACAAATGATGGAGATAATCTCCAAAGGTATTTGAGTTGATTTGGGTATAAGTTGGGATTGGTGCGTGAGTCTCCCTACCAACAGAAATGTTGAAATGACTCTACACAAGAATGGTATTATGGTTTTTTCCTACATTTTACACTACACTTTAATTTCAGACCGTTTCATGCTTTTAAAAATAAAAACAGCATCAAAAAAGAGACAATAACAAGTTCTGGTGAAATCAGAACTCATTACACTGCTGGTGGGAATGTAAAATGGTGCAGTCACTTTGGAAAACAGTCTAGCAGTTTTTCAAAGGTTAAAAAAGAGTTACCATATGACCCAACAATTCTACTCCTGGGTATATACACCCAAGAGAAATGAAAATATAGGTCCACACACTAACCAGTATGTGAATGTTCATAGTAGATTATATATACTAGCAAAAAAATGGAAAACCACCCCAGTATTCACCAATGGATAAATACAATGGGCTATACCCATACAATGGAATATTATTCAGCAATAAACTTTGAAAACATTATGCTAAAAGAAGCCAGTCACAAAAGATGACATATAAGATGATTCTATTTATGAGATACCACAAATGGGCAAATCTATAGACAGCAGGCAGATTAGTGGTTGCCTAGGGCTGGTGAGGGGGAAAGGGGTTTGACTATTAATGGATATAGGGTATTTTTTAGGGTGATGAAAACATTCTAAAATTGATTGTGGTGATGGTTTCACAACTCTGACTATACTAAAAACCACTGAACTGTATACTTTTTTTTTTTTCAGCTGAGCCATCCTGTCACCTGTTGACAGCTCAGCGGCAGCTCAGCTTAGGCTGGGAATCGAACCGCTGTTGCTCAGAGCTCGCACTCTTAAGCGAGGTTTTAACCAACTGAGCCACTCAGCCGGCCCTGAACTGTATACTTTAAACAGATGAATTGTATGGTATGTGGATTATATCTCAATAAAGCTGGTATATCAAAAACATCTGGCATATAATCTGAAAAATGTTTTGTGACAATTGAAAACTTGGAAATGTTTACTAATTTAGTCAAATTACTTTTACTAAAAAATAATAAAATCACATGAGATTAGGACATAAAGTTGTAGATCTCAAATCCAATTATAACCAAAACAACTATCGCTACTGCAAAAGGATTGCTAAACTCCAACTAACTAAAAGCAGTATTCCCACAACTTGTTATGATGAAAAAGGCAAGTCTCTCAGAGCTTATTACATAGAACAAATCTTACTTGGCCTGTTGGAAAGTGAAATATTTGGAATTACCAAATATTCTAGTTAGAGGTAGTTTCCATCAACTGATGAATGGATAAATAAAATGTGGAATGCCTATACAATGAAAGATTATTCAGCCATAAAAATGAAGGAAGTACTGACACATGCTTAAACATGGATGACTTCGAAAACATGCTGAGTGAAAGAAGATGAGCACAAACCAGAGGGGGAGGACGGGGAGTGACTGCTAATAAGCACCAGGTTTCTTTGTGGAGGATGAAAACGTTCTAAACTCAGATTTAAGGGGTGATTGTACAACTCTGAAAATACAAAACCCCCCAATAAAGTCTAACTTTTAAACAGGTAAAGTTCATGGCATGTCCATTATATCTCAATAAAGATTTTATTTTTTAAAAAAGTTTTGGAATTCATTGCATCTTCACTAAGGGAGTACTGATGTTGCCATTAAAATGAAAAATATTATTAGGTTCAGGGTGTCAAACTCATGTCATTTTAAGTGGTGTGTCAGGAAATGGAATCAATTTGTGTTCGGCTCTTGTTGCTTTTGGAACTGAAATCCTTGTCATGAGGACAAGCACTAGTTATGTGAATTGAAAAACAGTCAGAATCTTCTTTTGTATATATAAGAAAATAAGTCTAATTTGGCTGCTTGGCTTGGCAATGAAAACTGGGTTTGCCAGTTAGGTAATATGGTAGTCATGTCCAACTATTTGAAAGAGCTAATCACCAGCCACACAGTTCTAAAAACTATTTTTTAAATAAAAAACTGTTATTTAAAAGCATATCACACAATAAAAATATCTGTCAAGAATATAATAGGAAAGGTGTACTGAAACTTACAGTATTTTGATTTCCCCAACTCTTCTAAATATATTGAATACAAGGTTCATTTAAGTGAAAGAGTAACAAGAATATTTAATAGTCACTGGATAAATCTTGGTAAAGCATTTTTTAGGATATCTTTCCCAGAAAAAGTAAAATGAGTAACTAATTATCTGACTTATTTTTGCCAGTCATATGGTTGGGTACCACAACTCCAACCATACAGATACCTGCCTTAGCCATGACACAGCAGCAGTTGGGAAAATTGAATCCAAATGAGGGGCTTATTGGCTGAAAAGATGATCAGGAAAAAAATGTACCATGAAGTGTTCATTAAATTCTTTTACTTCCACTAAGGGATTTCAATCTTCCCAAATATAGAGGTACCAAATATATTAAAGAACCAACAGACTTGCTCAAATTTTCATATTTTATCCACATTTACCAAAATTCCTCCATATGTTTCATTTATTCATTCTTACTAAGAGCCAATTATGCACAGGGCACCACATGCTAGACTCAGGAAATGTATAATCTATTGCTTTTCCAGGCAGATCTCCTCCTCACACTACTAGGGATAGATAGTAAAGGTGTCTGCTTCTAAATATATATGTGCGATGTATACTCAAAAATGACAAAGTCCGTACCTACAAAAAGTTATTCAAAAGGTGAATTGAACTTATTTCATTTCTTTTAACCATCGGCATTTGGCAAATTAATATTACTGATCTAAAAGAACA